CCACATTGGCCACCTCCTGGAAGGATATCTCACTCCCAGTCTCTCTAGCCATCTGGAGACGAATCGGCTGAATGAGTCTATCAATAAACCGTCTCACTCTCTCCCTCTCAGTGGGAAGTATAATAAGGTCATGGCGAGCCAAATCTATGAATCCGGTCTCGTACTGGGTGATAGTCATGGATCCCTGCTGAAGACGCTCGAACTGCCTCCGATAGGCCTCTCGTTCTGTAATAAAGAGAAACTTCTCCAGAAATAGCTGTGTGAACTGCCCCCAGGTCAAGGCTGGTGATCCTGCTGGTCTAGCTAGGCAATAATCCCTCCACCAAGTCTTGGCGTATCCAGACAAGCGAAATGTAGCAAAATCAACTCCATTGGTCTCAACAATCCCCATGTTCCGAAGAACCTCGTGACAACTGTCCAGATAAACCTGGGGATCTTCAGTAGGTGCACCGCTGAAGGTAGTAGTGAAGAGCTTGGTGAACCTGTCCAATCTCCACAAAGCATCTGTAGACATGGCTGCACCATCGCCGGTCTGAGCTCCCACACCCGGCTGAACCGCCCCAACTAGCTGAGCCGCTGGAGTCTGAATCTGGGGAGCTACCTGCTCCGGAGTGCGAGTAGCAGGAGTCTGGGCTCCTCCTCCATCCTGAGAGACGGCTGGTGCTACATGAAGTAAACCTGCTTGGGTGACACTCTCCATGAGGCCCACTAGACGCACCAGAGCATCCTGAAGGACTGGGGTGGCAATAAACCCCTCTGGGACCTGAGCTGGGCCCACCGGAACTGTTGGGGCTGGAACCTTGTCATCAAAATCAACCTGAGGCTACGCTACAGGTGTTGTTGCCCTGGGCTGAGCTCTGCCCCTGCCTCGGCCCCTAGCACGGCCTCTGCCTCGCCCTCTGCCCCTCATGGGAGCTGCTGGGGGCTCGGCCTGCTGATCGGTAGATGAGGAAGCGCGTGTTCTCGCCATCTGCGAAAGAACATAGTAGAAATTCAATTAGAATTTGGGAAACCAAACCGCACGACAAGAAAGAACAAATGCGAAACTTTTCCTAACTCTGTAGCCTCTAGGGGATAAATACAGACGTCTCCGTACCGATCCCTCAGACTCTACTAAGCTTGTCCGTATATTGTGAGACCTATGTAACCTAGAGCTCTGATACCAACTTGTCACGACCCGTATTTCCCACCCTCGGGAGTCGTGATGGCGCCTACTCATAGAAGCTAGGCAAGCCACGAACTAAAAATCTTTAAACGCTTTTGTTTTTAGTTCCTTTTTAACCAATTAAATTAACAGTAAATTAACAATTAAATAATAGCGGAATAGGAAATCTAGCAGAAGTTTAAATAAATATAAAACCGAATTATCCTGAAGACCAACACATGCCTCTAACCAAAACCTGGTGTCACAACATCCACGGACTATCTAGGATTTACTACAAATAAGTGTGTGAAAGAAAGGAACATAGTCTGTCTCAAGTACAAATGACAACAGAACATAAAAACTAATAGAAGAGAAGTCGGGCCTGCGGACGCCAGCAGGGCTACCTCGGAGTCTCGAACTGAAGGATAGCTCCCGATCTACTGTTGATGACCAAATGCTGCTCCGGGATCTGCACACAGTGCAAAGTGTAGTATCAGCACAACCGACCCCATGTGCTGGTAAGTTCCTGGCCTAACCCCGGCGAGGTAGTGATGAGGCTCCAGATAAACCTGTGCAGTTGCGTATATATACAACGGAAGATAGACAGAGATAAACAAGATAAAACTAGGAAGGGGATCATGCTTCAGAGATAGCAGATAATACAGAATTTCAAGAGAATAATAAGGAAAATCAACAATTTAACTCTAACATTGATAAGGAAAATAAAGGCAGATTTCACTGTCAGTACACATCTCGTTGCAGGCGTGCAACCCGATCCCATTTCTCATATCTCGTGGTAGGCGTACCACCCGCTCCCATTTCATCATATCTCGTGGTAGGCGTACCACCCGCTCCCATTTCATCATAACTCGTGGTAGGCGTACCACCCGCTCCCATTTCACTATAACTTGTGGTAGGCGTACCACCCGCTCCCATTTCATCAAATCTCGTGGTAGACGTACCACCCGCTCCCATTTCATTCCAACACAATATCACAATAAAATCCCGGCAAGGGAACAAAAGCTACATAGAAATTTCCCGGCAAGGGAACAAAATCTACATAGAAATTTCCCGGCAAGGGAACAACAATATCAAATCAACCATACCGGCTAGGGAGAACCGGCTATAACCAATCCTAGCTCAACTCCTACTCAGTCCGATTAATATCAATACTCAAGCATAATAAAGTCCACGGGGATAAACTAAATCTTTACTCAATATCAAGAGTCATCATTTAAGGCATCCGAAATGTCATTTAGGAACACAACAACTATCAATTTAAGACTCACAGTCATGCTCGACACCAACGCATAGATACTCATCACCATGCCTATACGTCGTACTCAACAAGAACCAAATAGCAATGATGACTCAACTCCTAATCCCTCAAGCTAGGGTTAGACCGGACACTTACCTCAATGCCTTGAGCACAACTCAAGTCTCAATTATAGCTTTACCCCTTGATTCCACTGCCAATTCGCTCGTATCTAATTACAAATTATTTAATTACATCAGTAAATGCTAAATGAATCAACCTCAATGCATGAAAATGAGTTTTCCAAAGTTTTACCCAAAAAGTCAAAAATCACCCCCGGGCCCACGTGGTCAAAACCTGAGGTTCGAACCAAAACCCGATTAACCATTCCCCACGAACTCAAATATATAATTTGTTTTGAAATCGGACCTCAAATTGAGGTCCAAATCCCCAAGTTTTGAAACAAACCTGGGTTCTACCCAAAACACCCAATTTTCCCCATGAAAATCTTTGATTTTAGGTTGAAATCATGTTAAAAGATGTTGATGGTTGAAGGAAATGAGTAAAAACTAACTTACAATCGATTTGGAAGGAGAGTTGTTCTTGGAAAATCGCCCAAAGGAGTTTGTGTTTTGAAAATATGTTAAAAATGGTTCAAAATCGGCTAAGTATAAAAAAAAATGCAGGTCTCAGTTATGGGAAATGGGAACAGGGGTTCACAATTGCGAACCCTGACCTGCTGATGTGGGAATTGCGAAATATCGTTCGCATTTGTTAACACTTTGAAAATCCCGGATTTTCGCAATTGCGATAAAAAATGTCGCATTTGCGGCTGGCCCTACTTCGCATTTGCGAACCACTTGGTCGCATTTGCGATGCAAGGCTCGCATTTGCGAGACTGGCTTTGCAAATGCGAAGCCTGCAGATCAGAAATACCAGAAATTTTTCAAAGTCCACAAAATGCACCCGTGGCCTATCCAAAACTCACCCAAGCCCTCGGGGCTCCAAACCAAATATACACACAACCTCAAAAACACCCTACAGACTTATTCGTGCGATCAAATCGCCAAGATAACATCATAAACATCGGATTAAACCTCAGAATCCATGAATTCTTTCAAACTTCTTAAAATATCAAAATTTTCAATTTAGGTCCGAATCACGTCAAATGATATCCGTTTATCATCAAATTTTACAAAGACATCTTAAATCACCTGTACCGGACGCCGGAACCAAAATACGGCCCGATACTAACATGTTCTAATCAAATTTCATTTCCAATTTCCTTAAACAATTTCAGAAAACAATTTCTTTCTAAAATTCATTTCCTGGGCTTGCCTCGGAATTCAATTCCGAGCATACGCCCAAGTCCCATATTTTCCTACGGACCCTCCGGAACCGTCAAATCACGGGTCCGAGTCCCTTTACCCAAAACATTGACCGAAGTCAAATTAACTCATATTATAACCAAATTTTACCATTTTTCACAGATTTTCATATTTAATCTTTCCGGCTACGCGCTCGGACTGCGCATGCAAATCGAGGTGACTCCAAATGAGGTTTTCAAGGCCTTGGAGTCATTTAATTTAATTTAAAACAAGTGATGACCGTTTGGGTCATCACAGAATGTGGACAATAATAAACTTCACTGAGATCCACTTTTAAACCAATTTTGGTTTGAATTTCTTTTTTCAAGTTTAAGTTGAATTGTAATTAGTTCTCAATTTCATAAAATACGCCAATGAAAATTAAAACACCATTATCTACATAGGAAACCTATAAATAGATATCATCTATATCTATATCTATATTATATTAAAAGTACGAAAGCCCTTAAAAAAATGTCGTTCACCCTTTTTATCCTTTAAAACATAAAGTTTCCATTGGACAATATAGTAATTGAAGGATTGTAAGATCTTTTGGTAACTAATCTTGAATGATTTGTTATTAAGCTTTGCCTTAATTATTTGGTTATATTTTCTTCATGTTTATTATTTCTTCAAGTTTCTTACACAAGAAAACTCAATAAAAAAAATTCCTAAACTTTCACTCTCATTGAATGACCTATCTCATTAAATTGGTTAGATTCCTTTTACTCTTTTGAGTATTAAATGAGTTATTATATTTGCCTTAATTGTTTGATAAAAGATTTCTTCACGACTGTTACACAAGGAAAGTTCGGACTTGAGACTTAGAGCCCGTTTGACCAAGCTACCAAAATCTGCTTATTTTAAAAAGTACTTTTTACAAAAGTACATTTGAAAAAAAAAAAAAATTGTGTTTGGCCAATTCATTTAAGAAGTACTTTTTACAATATTTGATAAACAAATTGTGTTTGACCAATCTTTATAAAAAGTACTTTTGAGTATCAAATTACCAAAAAGGATAGTGCCAAACTTTTATTTAAAAAGAAAAATAAATTTTAATATTATTATAAGAGACTGTTATTAGTTTTTATTTAATTTAATTAAGATATAAACATAAAGTATACATACATACTAAATATTTAAATCTTTGTAACATATATAGTTATACCAAAGCAATAATATTATCTAGTATAATTACTTGTTATTTACACCATGAAATAATAAGCAAAGTGACTCACACATGATAATATTTTTCAACAATTTCATCTCTAATTCTATCACGCAACGCCTCCATAATAGTCGAAGACTTGTCTTGCATTTCTAAAGGAATACCAGAAGCCCCATCTCCTTCCTCAATCTCTGTAGTAATGTCTTCATTAGCATAATAGTTGAATTCCTTATCAGTAGAAGATCGTCGTCGGATGAAATTATGTATAGCCATGGTAGTTGTAACAAGATGAATCTGAGTGTAAAACTTGAAAGATGGCATTGAGCGTAAAATAGAAAACCTATTTTTCCAGACTCCAAATGTTCTTTCAATTGTACATCGAAGACTGGAGTGAAAAAAATTGAATGTTTCATTTGGATTTCTAAAACTAGAGTTGCGCTTGAAATCCGAGAGTAAACCTTTCTCTCTGAATTCATCAGTTGTAGATGTTGTAAACCTTTCTCTCTGAATTTCTCTACATTTGGATTTTCCTACAAATGTGAAGAAGAACAAGAGAATTTAAAATACCAAAGCAAATAAATAAATAAATAAAATTATGTTAACTGAAAATTACGTAGTAATTACAAGTACCTTTATTTTCCTATCCCACCAATCTGCACTCGCTTGAATTATTTTTTTATCGGGATCCCATCCTAAACCAGTCTCTTTTCCAACTAAAGTATCCCATTCTTTCCATGTACCTTTGAGGTTGTCCCACTTGTTCTTCAACTTAACTTTATCATAGTTTTTTCTGGTTTTGTCATTAAACTTTTGCACCAGATTAGACCATCCTAATCTACTGAAGTGAGTTCCAGGACGATTTCCTGCTAAAATTTCTTCCACACATATATTTAACAATAGTTCTGTAGTTTCTGCATCCCATTTAGCCTTCTCAGAGTTGTTATCCAATGTCATTTTCTTGCTCATTTTCTTTCATGCATTAAGAACATGTGGTTAATAATAATATTAAAATAGAGAACTAAATAAATAAAAAAGAGAAAGATAGAAAAAATAAGAGCATCAAGGGGGAAAATTTCAACTATTAATCACTCATATTACTAGAAATCAGTGTTATCATTGTTACATGCAAGCACGTTAAAAAGGAATAAAAATAAAAGTACATACTAGATATTGCGTATAATAAATTGGTACACTACAAAAAAAAACATACCTTATGAAAAAAGTACTTGTACTGGTTGTTAGTTTGTTATTTTAAAGAGGAATAAGAGACAAAGAAGAAGAATCTGCACAAGGAAAAAAGGAGAAGAAGTCTATTTATAGTAATAGATAAGACTCTTCATTTTGCATGAAGTATTCAAGGAGATGAATCTATTAAAGTTATTGGGAGAATTCTAGGATATTTATTAATTTAGAGAAATAAAAAAACAAGATTAATCAAAGAAAACATCAAAAACAAGAAAAATCAAAAAAGAATTTGAAAAGTTACAAGTTGATTCATGTATTTGATATCTTTAATTTTTAAAATAATGGTAGAAATAAAAAAAACTATTAAAAATCAATGAAAAGACAAAAAAACGAATTTGAAAGATTCATATATCTTTTATATATACACGAATCTTTCAAAATCGTTTTTGTCTTTTCATTGGTTTTTGCTTCATCTTGAATGGTTTTTTTTTTAATTTCTATCATTATTTTAATAAGTAAATATATCAAATACACACACACACACATATATATATATATATATATATATATATATATAAAAGAAAAGTTCAACATAAAGTCGTTGTAGTACTTCCAACGATTATAAAGAAATACTTCATAATTTCAAAAGAATTTACTCTCTTACAACTAGAAGTCGTACCCGCGCGATACGCGGTCAGTATTAAACAGTATTAGTTAAATTAAATCCTAATCGGGTTTGTTTGAACATATTAGATCGTATTACTTTAATAAATTTNCATACATACTAAATATTTAAATCTTTGAAACATATATAGTTATACCAAAGAAATAACATTATCTAGTATAATTACTTGTTATTTATACCATGAAATAATAAGCAAAGTGACTCACACATGATAATATTTCTCAACAATTTCATCTCTAATTCTATCACGCAACGCCTCCATAATAGTCGAAGACTTGTCTTGCATTTCTAAAGGAATACCAGAAGCCCCATCTCCTTCCTCAATCTCTGCAGTAATGTCTTCATTAGCATAATAGTTGAATTCCTTATCAGTAGAAGATCGTCGTCGGATGAAATTATGTATAGCCATGGTAGTTGTAACAAGATGAATCTGAGTGTCAAACTTGAAAGATGGCATTGAGCGTAAAATAGAAAACCTATTTTTCCAGACTCCAAATGTTCTTTCAATTGTACATAAACCTATTAGGACTACTATTTTCTGAATTTATTTTTGCCTACAGTGATAGGATGTGTTAGAAGGAAAAGAGGTAGAAATCTCTTGGAGATAAAGGGTTTTGAAACGAAAGTTATTAGGATCGAAAGTACAAAAGTAAAATAAATTTGGAGATCAATTTAAATAATACCGCTTACATAAGAAAATAATTTGCTTTATTTATTCATTTTTTAGCACTCGATATTAATAAATTTCTCATCTTTACCATTCAAACTGAAGATGGCTCGATATATATATATATATATATATATATATATATATATATATATATATATATATATATATATATATATATATATATAGNTTTGTCTTGAATAAATTAATTTTCTGCTTCTGCTTATGCTTCTTGGAAGAAGCTAGAATTTTCTGCTTCTTCCCAAAAGCAGAAAAACTGCTTCTGCTGTTGGCCAAAAATACTTTTTTATTTTTGCCAAACACAATAAATTTTTCAAAAAGTACTTTTGGCCTCCAAAAAACTTGGCCAAACAGGCTCTTAGTTAGATTTCCTTTACATTTGGTAAAAGTTGGGACTTGAGACACAAGGAAAGTTAGAGTATTAAATGTGCCTTAATTATTTGGTAAAAGTCTCTTCACGTTATGACTTATATTTTGGTAGAAGTCTTTATTAGTTGGTAAATTTTTCTTGTATTTTTGACCTACACACAAATTTACTTATACAATTCATTTTATGTGTCAAATTGTGTATCATAATACTTATGTAAAAGAAGCTAAAAGTCACAATTTAATCGTCAAACTTCACCCTATTCCAACATCGCGATTTCAGGTTTTGTTTCTTTACTAATATCAACATCTTTTGCTACTTCATATTTTACAAGCACGTTTGCATGCACCAATTTTTGGTGTTGCATCAAGAAATTATCATTAGTGTTGCATCAAGAAAATTTTATTATATAATGTTTTGTTTCATGTTTTGGACTTGGCTAATTTCGAATCTCAATTTTAATACAGGTTATTGAACAATTGCAATTCATCATAGAAAATCGGTTAGACATTCGATCTAAGTCTTATTACTTAAATATTAGTATTATTTTTCTTTTGTTGTATAATTAATAATACATATTGCTATGCCAGCTCAAGTTGCTTGTTTTACAAAAAAAAAAAGAAAGAAAAAAGACTATCTCTTTCAATTATGTGTAATATTAATACTACATGATTTATAATTGTGTTATTTGCAATTGCCATGCTTGAATCACTCAAATTTCAACAATTACCTCCATTCAGGTAAACAATCTTTCTAATATCATAAAAATAATCAATTATTGAATTAGTCACTTTGATAACTTGTAAAACTCTTATGCATGCTTTATTTTAGGTACACCTGCAAGGGCCAGTAAAAAGGAATTGTCAGACCAATGTGTCCCAATTAATAGTCTAAGAGTATCATATTCACGTTGGGTAATACGAGTCTTAGTATGTAGGGAAGCTCAATCCTCTGAAATAAACCACCAGGCCTCTGATGCTCGTACTTAACCTGCTGACAATTCAAACAATGAGCCACATATGCTACGATATCCTTCTTCATTCTACACCACCAATAATGATGCCGCAAATCCTGATACATCTTCGCGGCGCCCGGATGAATAGAGTACCGGGAGCTATGGGCCTCCTCCAAAATCAACTCTCGGAGCCCATCCATATTAGGCACACATACTCGACCCTGCAATCTCAAAACTCCATCATCATCTAAGGTAACATGCCTGGCACCTCCGTGCTGCACCGTGTCTCTAAGGACACACAAATGGGGATCATCATACTGCCGATCACGGATACGCTCCAATAATGAAGAACGAGCGACCGTGAAAGCTAACACACGACTAGGCTCAGAAACATCCAGCCTCATGAACTGATTGGCTATGGCCTGAACATCGAAAGCAAGCTGCCTCTCATCGACCGGAATATAAGCGAGATGCCCATACTGGCTGACTTCCTACTCAATGCATCGGCCACCACATTGGCCTTCCCCGGATGATATAGAATGGTGATATCGTAATCCTTCAACAACTCCAACCACCTCCTCTGCCTCAAATTCAATTCCTTTTGCTTGAACAAGTACTAAAGACTCTTGTGATCCGTGAACACCTCACATGCCACGCCATACAGATAATGCCTCCAAATCTTCAATGCGTGAACTATTGCTGCCAACTCCAAATCATGAACCGGATAGTTCTTCTCATGAATCTTCAACTGCCTCGAAGCATAGGCAATGACTTTGCCATGCTGCATCAACATTGTTCCAAGCCCAACACGGGAAGCATCACAAATAGACTATATAAGGCCCTGAACCTGTGGGCAAAACCAACACTGGTGCCGTAGTCAAAGCTGTCTTGAGCTTCTGAAAGTTCGCCTCACACTCATCCGACCATCTGAACTGGCACCCTTCTGGGTCAATCTGGTCATCGGGGCTGCAATAGATGAAAACCCCTCCACGAACCGTCGATAGTAGCTTGCCAACCCCAAGAAACTTCGAATCTCTGTAGTTGATGCTGGTCTAGGCCAGTTCTTGACTGCCTCAATCTTCTTTGGGTCCACCTGAATACCCTCTGCTGATAACATGACCCAGAAATGCAACTGAACCCAACCAGAATTAACACTTCGAGAACTTAGCATATAACCGACTACCCCTCAGAGAATGAAGAACCACTCTAAGGTGCTGCTCGTGCTCCTCCTAGCTGCGGGACTATATCAATATATCATCAATGAAAACTATCATGAATGAGTCCAAATAAGGCCTGAACACTCGGTTCAACAAGTCCATGAAAGCTGCTGGGGCATTTGTCAACTCGAATGACATAACCAAGAACTCATAATGCCCGTACCGAGTGCGGAAGGCTGTCTTAGGGACATCAGATGCCCTAATCCTCAACTGATGGTAGCCAGATCGCAAGTCAATCTTGGAAAATACCCTGGCACCCTGAAGCTGGTCGAACAAATCATCAATCCTCGGCAGCGGATACTTATTCTTGATTGTTACCTTGTTCAATCGCCGGTAATCAATACACATTCTCATTGACCCATCCTTCTTCTTGACAAATAACACCGGCGCACCCAAGGTGAGACACTGGGTCTTATGAAACCCTTCTCAAGAAAATCCTGCAACTGTTCCTTTAACTCTTTCAACTCTGGCGGGGCCATACGATATGGTGGGATAGAAATGGGCTGAGTGCCCGGTACCAGATCAATGCAGAAATCAATATCGTTGTCGGGTGGCATACCCGGCAGGTCTGAAGGAAAAACATCAGGGAACTCACAAACAATGGGCACAGAATCAATAGAGGGAACCTCAGCACTGGAATCTCGAATATAGGCTAAATAGACCAAACACCCCTTCTCAACCATACGCCGAGCCTTCACATACGATATAACACTGCGGGTAGAATGACCAGGAGTCCCTCTCCACTCTAACCGAGGCATACCCAGTAAAGCTAAGTTCACAGTCTTGGCATGGCAGTCCAAGATAGCGTGATAGGGTGATAACCAGTCCATCCCCAATATAATATCGAAGTCAACCAT